CACAGCCCAAGTGTGCTTGAGATTAGGGTAATAAACTCATGGGCTGACATTTTCCTTCAGGATTTGGTGGTAGTGAGTAACATAATGGTTTAATCAAAACTGGCACTTGTCCAAATACTAAAGCAGTGAAGAAGCCTAAACCTTCAAACTAAAATAATAATGTTTGTTTGTCATTATGGTGTTCCTTTAAAAAATAAAATAAATACCATGTTAGGTCTGACCTTAAGTCTCTAGATGCTGACAGGCTGTTGAGGCTCAAACACTTCTTCATTATTGTGTGGAGGTCGAGGAGAGTCCTACCCTGAACTGCCAGTTTGGGGTTCCCCACCAAAAGAAGGGAGACCAGAGGGTGTGTTCCAACTATCGGGGGTTCACATTTCTCAGTCTCCCTGATAATGCCAATGCCATGGTACTGGAAAAAAGAGTCCTGTTGACTGCTGAACCGTGGCTTCAGGTGGTCAGACAAATTATCCAGGGGTGGGGGGCTGGGGGGGTAAGCTTTTGGAACTTGGGATGTCTGTATTACCAGTTCATATTTAATCCCAGGAGGGTTGCCCTCCGTCACCGTTACCTTGATGGACAGGATTGTTGGGCTAAGACAAACCAGAGGGGGTCTTTTTGGGGGTTTGAAGTGGCTGGACTGAAGATAAGCTCCTTCCTACTCTCCCCTATGTCACTAAATCTGGTTCATGAACAGAAGAGAAAGATCTGTGATATAAGCAACTGAAATGAGCTTCCTTTGCAGGTTGGCTGGGCATTCCCTTAGATATATGGAGAGGAGCTTGCTCAGCTCAGTAGAGGCTCAAAGTAAAGCCACTTCTTCTCCATAGAGAGGAGTCAGCTGAAGTGTTTTTGGACAGCTTTTTTAGATACATACTGGACACCTTCATTTGGTATTTGGAGGAGGCCCAGGGGACAGCACAGGACATGGTGGAGAAACCATGTCTCTCAGACGGCCTGGGAAAACCTCAGTCAGAGAAGGTGTCTAGGGAAAAAAGAAGTCTCTGCTGCCCCAACAACCCGGTCTCAAGACCAAGTAAGAATTCACTCCTATTTTAGTTATGACTAATAATCTATGGGAAGTAACACGTTTGGATAATCATAGCAAAGACACTTCTTTTAGGAGAAAATTACAAAAATAAGTAATTGAAAAAATAGTGGTAACATGTAGATTCTGGATAGAATAAAAAGGCTTTGATTGATATAAAGATGATTTCTCCTTTTGGTCAATCAAAATAATCCATAGAGTATCCATGTAATATTTAATGCAACAAAATCATAGTTTATATTGTCTTGAGAGACATCCCAGATTTTTTTTTCTTTCTAAATATATAATTCAATACTAAAAAAAAGGTTAATTTTAAATTGATGTATGCAAGAGGTATCAATAATTTTAAGCTTACCATAATGTTGTATTTATGCTACATGACTTTGTGAAGATAGTAAAAATAAGACTCTCACTTCTCCCTGCATTTCTGAGTATTTCTAACCTCTGTAGTCTATGAATAAAGACTAAAACTCTCTCCTGCACAAAACTTTTCAGCAGAGGATCAATTATGACTTAAAATATAAAATGTTAACATTTGGATTTAATGAGAAAAAAAACACAAACTGTGCTTTGACTCCTCAGAAGGTTAGAAAATATACCAAAATGAACCTAAATAGGTAATACAAACAAGGACAAGTATAAACAAGTCATGTTACATGTTATTTGATATGACTTACAGCACTTGTAATTTTAGTACAGATAATATGGGCCTCATTCTTGTTTTCCTCTACATTTAATTTTCTATTCTTAACAGAATCAATAATAACATCACATATCGCACCCTGTACTGTTTCACTGGCCAAGATGCACAGCCAGAGCTGTTCCTGTAACGGTATTCTTTTTCTCTGTTTTTTATCACTAGACACTTACTTTTTGGGTCAATACCAAACTGACAAAATCCATAACATGTCTAAAAGTGGGTTTACAACTTAAGTGGGAAATTATGTCTGGCATCCGATTTTAATTCATAGATTTCTCATGTGGTTCTAGCATTAGAAGAAGCCACTGTAAAAATACAGCTGTTCTTAAAGGTGCAACTTAAAAGCTGATCTTATTAGAATGGCGGATTTCTGCAGCGTATGATTGAACTGTGCTCTAACTGTAAATATAATTTCATAACCTAAATCTTCTTTTAAAACTTTAACACAACCTTATCACTAAGATAACTGGTGCTCCTTTACAATGCTGTTCATTGATTATCTCTCTGAGGCTTTCACAGGAACAGCTACAGTATGTTAACCATTGTGTGACTTCTACAAACAACTGCTTACACTTGATTTTATTTAGTGGTTTCAGTAGTTTAGGGGTTTCAGATTAACATTCATTGAATAAAAGCAGATAACACACTTTTAAGATTAGTCTTTAATAAAGGAAAACCCATAACATTGATTAATTCTCTTTTCACTTCACAATTACCTACATTTTGCTTTGATACTTTTGAAAGTCACTCTATCTGTAAAACACTAAATATTTGATCATCCTCTAACAAAACTTGACTTATTTTTTATTGCTTATTTACTATTATTTTATTAGTTTGCTAAGTAAATTATCATTTTATGTTTTCTGGAGTTTAACCTTATTTCTGATAGAAATAAAACCGTGTTGAATGAAAGGTTATTCTACTGACGTTCTATTGACGTCAGGTGACAGCCAATGACCTAAGGGATGCTAAAAGTTAAAAATGATCAGATTCTGAAAACAGGCAGATCAGATGTAGTCTGATATATAATTTACTCAGAAGAATGTCCAACAGCAGAGAAAAAAAAACACACAGTTATACTTTTAAGAGTCATGCATCATTGAGTTTAGACTCTATGTGTCAACTCAGCATCCACCGACTTTCCCTTCATAGAACTCTAAAACAGACACCTAACTGACTCCCCAGGGACCCCAGAGGCAGAGGGCAAGAAAGAGAAAAGAGAGGGGAATGAATCATCAAACACTACAGCAAAACCATGTGGAGACAGACAACCACTCAACCATATTAAGTTCTCTTCTCACTTTTAAGATTCATTGCTCCCTTACTCCATGTTTAGATTAATGTTTTCTGAAGTTTTTCACTTGTTTTCTCTAATTGTATCCTCAGATTGGGTTTCTTCTTCTCTATGCAATACACACACACACAAAAAAAAAAACATTTGCAGAATTTATTTTCTTTCAGTCAAATCTTTGCTGTCCTGAATTCATTTTTCTCAAAGTTTGCAGTTAAAATCACAGAGGCATACAATAGAGTAGATATGAAAAAAATATAAACAAAGGCAAAGCAAAGGGTTTTCATTTATTTAAATATTTTATTGCACCACTGGCATTCAGTAATTATTTTTCAAGAATAAAAAAATGTTGCAAGTAACAAGAGGATTCATATAAGTTTTTTGGGGTTTTTTTGTAAACGAAACAAGATCTCTGTGTTTTCATTTTAGTTCTAAGAAAGAAGAGTATCCCCCCCCAAAATAAAATAAGTAAAATAAAACTCAGTGGGTTCAACCCATGCTGTGTTATGATCGTCTATATTTCCCCTGTTATATGGCCTAAGAAATCTTGTCTTTCATTTATATGATAATCTAAGGTCAGATTAGACAAAAATAAATTGTTTCTAATCACAAAACAATTGCTCCCTGAACATAACAGTATTAATATGTCACTATTTTGAATTATATGAATGTTTAAAAAAAAACAGGAGCTGGTATACATAAGCGAACATATTAATATTATTTTCACTTTAAGTAGAGCTACAGCCCTAATAGAATGGTGCAGTCATTGAAAAGGATTTATCTTAAAAATAAATTATTGGTATGCATTTGCCTCTGTTTTTATGAATATTTATTTTTTTGGTTAGGGGTATTTTTTATTTTTTTTTTGCTTTTAGCATTTGAGCAGAAGCTGGACAGAAAGTAAAAAAATAATAAAAAATGCCAGATTTTCTGATTTACTTAGTAAAAGAAATAATGCAGAACTACACTGGAGTTCCATGAAAGGGCATTTAAAATTATACCAATCTGCTTATAAATGAATGTGCATATCTTCACTCAGGATGTCTTCTGACCAAAAATCTCAACAGAGATTACACTTACAGTAATATGAAGAACCAATGTTTTTATTCTTCTTTTTCAACCTTAGTTTGAGGTTCTAAAAATATCCAGAAATTGAAAAAAAAAAAAAAAAGCGGAAAAAAAAAACCTCTTTAGCAGAAACGTCAGGAAAGAAATTAGCAAACAAACCCCACATCAATTCTATTGTAATATTCACTGAAGTAATCATTTGTGGTTCATTGAAAAAAAAAAAAAGAAAAAAAAAAAAAGCACCCTTGCAGCTGAATACCCAGAATGGTGAACTTCATTCTTGTACTTTTATGTTCCAGTCTGGACAAGATAAACTCTGTATTTCTTTTAAGTGAGACAAGTAAACGAGGGAACAAACATAGTTCGGATAAGATCGAACAATCCTTTGCACAAAGATTTTATCTGCAAGGACTCAGGATTTAGAACAGCAGTCAGCATACAAAATTGTGGCATTGTAGTGATAGTCAGCCTTGCAGGATATAATCAAAACTGTGGAGATGACTTTGCACCATTCATGGGATATGGTGCGTGTAAATAAAAGGAAGGCAAAAACGAATTCACAGAAAATCCTACAGTGCCACAATTTCAATCTGTCCTCTGGATAAGGCCATATTATCTCTAACAAAAGCTATCCTTCGCAATGTGGATCACCTTCACTATTACAAAATTATTATCTTTATGTGCCAAAACACACCAAGAAAGTAATAACAGTTGATATTAGGGATAAAGCACAAAGCAATTTTAAGATGACATTTATTCATTCTTCATTGTAAATATGATGTAGCGTTATACACTCTTAAAGAGACCCTTTGAATAAAAAAAACAAAGACTCTTGAAGGCAAATTCTATATAACAACTTGGCACTTCAACATGCACATGCAGGAGCCTCTTACCGGAGTGAAGTTCATGACTTTGAGAATCCAGATGGTGAGTGCCAGGTTGACAATCATTGTGACAAGTAGAAGAAGGATAAAGAAGTACAAACATCTCTTTCTCCACCCATAGATGCCGACTGCTGGGTAAACTTGGGCACTGCATTCTGAAGCTCCTCGCTGGTGGAGGGGGTTTGGCTGGGCTGCAAGGATGTATTGCTCCTGGGTCATCTGAAAAGTGTGCAAATAAAATATCATGTTTACTGAAAAGACTCTTAATCAAATGGTCAATCACTAACACTGACAGGCATTCTTTAACACATTTCACCGTACTCAAATGAAATGATAAGATGGATTTCCCCAGGGAGAGAACAGAGGCTTGCATAGGACACGAAACATCAAATATATATCTTCAACCGGTTCAGTAAATAGATAAGTCCACCAGAAGTGTAGGTGAACTGTTGGTGAAGAGATGGATGATAACTGATGAGAAGGAGACCGACGAAGAAGACCGGAAGTATTTAAGAGCGAGATAGAAGTGGAGAGAAAGAGCAAGACGAAAGTGTGATAAAAATGAGATTGAGGTAGAGCCGTTAAGTGGAAAGATAGCACACCTTTGAGTACATTTAAGATAGGGCGAGGGATGGAAAAGGGAGAGAGGGCTGATAAGACAGTAGAGGAAGACAGAGTCCATTAGTTGAAGTGCAGCATGTGGAGTCATTGGTGGCTAGAGATATGGACATTCGCTGCAAGACTCTGCTATCTTTGTCCATCTGAACCCCTAACTCTTTCTCTCTCCTTGCTTTCTATACAAAAAAGTCTTTATTTTTCCTTGCTTGTACTCTTCTTAATTCACTTCCTATCTCAATTTCGCACTTCTCTCGGTCTTCATCAGTCTCTGTCTAATGCTCACATGCACACAGACACACACCCATGCACACACATGTATTTGGTCTTTATTTGCTGAAATTGCATGACCTTAACGCCTCAGTTGCTTTCGATTTTTTTTCCTTCACATAACAGTGCTTTTTTCTCAGTGAATATAATAAAATACCATGACTGGGAAAACTGCTGACTCAAAACCGGCTTGCAGAAGAATGAATACAAACAAGAAATGAACTAAAAAGGAGAATTTATGACAATTCCAGAAGGTCAATTATGACTTAAAATGTAAAATAACTTCTAAAGAATAAAGATGGATATGTTATTGCTAAGGTTTTTTCCATCTGGTTTTTAAAATCGTAGTTTCCAATTGCTAGTGAGTGCACAAGTGTACAATATATTGAACAGACACATCCCATTGCTTGGAAGGTTTTTCTTAGTGTAGTTTGCTCCACTCCTGCATGCAAGGAACTCTGGAACTGATGTGATGAAATAAATAAATCAATTAACCTATCAATGAACAGATGAATAAACATGAGAATAAAAAGAAAACCCAAGAAGGGTTAGTTTAAAAAGACAATGTGAAAGAAAATCTAACACAAAATTCAGCTGAACCTGCTGCATGAAAATAGCAGCTAGAAATATTCCCTTACAGGTCAAATAAAGTCAGTTTCTGGTTTCAACTAGTGAAGACATTTCCATTGGTGATTTATGCATCATGTAACTACATGCAAATAATCTGGTGAAGGGAATTTGAAATACTGGGCAATAAGGTGTTCCAGGCATTTTCAAAATAAAATTTAACAGCTGCAATGTTAGATAATGGAGCTTAACTTTATTAAAATCTTTTTTATATATTTTCAAAGGCCTTATCCTAACTTGATGAATATTCCCATCTTAGATCGTATTACCTAAGCTGAAAGTAAAAAAAAAGAAGCTTTAAGCAAATCTAAATTAAGTTGGCCGATAATTTATCTTCAGTAGCACCTGAAGTAGTTTAAAAATGTGTAGTTTTCTTTTAAAGTCCAACATGGTAGTGTGCTTTTCTGTTCTCTTCAGAAGTAAATTTCTACAGGAAAAACCCAAGGTCCCTGCTGACTGAACCATGATAAGACTAAGCAAAAAACACAACAAATCAAGGTGAGCTTCAAAGCAAGCGTAATCAACCAACACATATGCAAAGGTGTACTGGAATATGTCTGGAAGCATTAACAATGAAGCATGAATTTAATCAGAATATTGCATGCATAGCAATTATCAGTACCTAAGGAGACTTGCACAGCTCTTGTAATGGAAAGTAAAAAATAAATTTCATACAAGATTAAAATGAAGTGATGTGGGTAGGTGATACATACTGCAGTTTGCTCCTCAGAAAAGGAAGATAAATCTATTTTAAATTGGAAAGCAGGATAAGCATTCAATATTTTGATCCAAATGTAATCCAACTATTTTTATATAAGCACAATCTGGATTTTGAACATATATTAAAGTCAAGCAGAAAGAGGGCTTAATGTTTGTCAAGAAGGCTAATGGATTAATGGCATTTTGCCTTTTCATAGTCAAGATTCACAGCAGCAGTCAGAACTGATTAATATGTTTTGCATTTCAAGAGTTTCATATCATTTCATGCAGAAACAAACCAGATAGATCAATATAAAAACATTGCTGTAGCATACCAAGTGGGGATAGGGTAGTGGTCATATATTTCTTTGTATTCAGCATACACGCTGAATCAATAGCATTGTTGCAGTGCTGATAAGTTGCTGGAAGTTTTGTTCTGTGGTGACTGAGAATGCAAATAATTTTCCTACAAACAAAAACAGTAACAATCAACAGTGGCACATAGGATCTATGAGTGTATCTGCCAGTAATTGTTTAATACCATGACATACTGTATATATATGCTGTATGGAAGCTTCTCAAAAGCAACTAACATCACATCTGTGAAGTTATTCACAGACACAGATAACAGATACAAATAAATGCTCATGACATCACCCCCTTTTACTGGAGAGTGTGAATGGTCACCCTTCTTAAATTTCCAGTCCCTCAATGAAATACTGTAACTGGATGTTCCAATAAGTCACTGATTGTGTTTCATATGAATTTCTCTATCATTTACTCAAAAGCACTGCATTGTTTTCATGTTTGTTGCTTCAGCTTAGTGTTTTGACAATGTTTGCTTTCTGCAAAATGCCATGCTAAGAACAAATTACATACTGACAGCATCAAATGACAAACAAACTCAATCAAAGGAAACTCCATCGTGTATAGTTCTATTTCAAGGTCTTTAGCTTCTGTTCTACAATTTTCATGATTAAATGCTCTAGAATAAACCGCATCAATATCTCTATTGAATATTATAGATATTTTTAGAACTATTGCAGGTTAACTTAGTTAAAATCTTAGTCAATTAGTTTCTTCCTTTCACCACTTGTTTATGGAGCCAATTGTGGAGTTCATGACTGAAGGTTTGAAGACAAAACACATTTGTAATGCCCAGTGCTGTGAAGAAAGAGAAGATTATTTCTTTTATTTACATTCTGTTTGTGGAAGTTTTTAACTATCGTATTAAATACTTAGCTTTTCTTAAAGGGTTGCTATTCTTCAGGTTTTAGCTATTTCTCACTTTCTCTTAGTCCAATCCGCTGCCTAAACAACTTAACATTAATGTTAGCAAATCTGACAAGAGGAGGGCTAAAAAGAAGATGTAAACAAATAAATAATTTAAATAAAACTAATCTAAACATCATTTTAAAAAAGGAACTGACCCATAGCTAAATTATCTTCCTGCTGATCTTCTACGACAGGGTTCCTAAATTTGACCCCTTGAGGTCCAGTGTCCTCTATCTTTTACATGCGTGTTTGTTTCAGCACACCCGAGTCTAATAATCAGATCATTAGAAGGACTCTGGAGAAGGACTGGAGCTCGATCCAAGTACAGCAAATTTGGTGAGGACACTTGAGTGAAGGCAGAAGTGTCTCAGGTGTTGCCATGATCAGTTCTGTCCAAATAGTGCTAAAAAAGGAAGGAGATATGAAAAGGAGCCTGTATGTTTTCAATCATAGTTAATTTAGCACAGGGCCTCACAAAGTTGCTATCTGGTTCTATGGCGGTCTAATGAATCCCACAATCCTTTGTATGACGGGTTGTATAACCACAACTTCCCTCACTAAACTGAAATATTCATTACTACTTTGCATGCACTCTGTGAGGTACTTGAAAGCCTAACCACCATATGTTTTGGGTTTTATAATGGAGAGTTTCACCCGTTCAAGATTTGTGTAACTCATGTTTATTTTAGTTATGTTACCGAACGCTATGGTCCCAAGTGGACTAGCATAATTCGTGTGCTTTGGTACAGCAAGTCGGACTTCATTTTCCTAACCATGGCCCTTCTTAATGTTGACCCCACTAGAGGCAAAGGAACAAGAGCTAGGGTTTACAGTTTGCCGTTCTCAGACTGAGTCCTGAACTGCATAATGAGGCATGAATTCAGCTATTTTATTAAGTTGTTCTGGAGCACAGATGCATCTAAAAGTTGCAGGACTTGAGGACTGGAGATAGATGTCTTAGTGTATACAGTTTTTAGCCAACAGCTCTTTAGCTATAACCCAGGCAGTGACGGAGTTGAAAGTAACGGCTTTACTAACGGCGTTACCTTTTTTAGTAATGAGTAATCTAACTAATTACTTTGACTGTAACTATAACGCAGTTACCATTGCCGACACCCCGTTACTGCACGTTACTCAGGTCGCACAATGAACCTTTTTTTCATGATAGGACTCGTGCACGCCTTGTCATGAAAGAGGGGAGGATGAGATTGGCTGATGTATAGTGAGATTCCGTCTGTCAGTTGGGTAGGTGGGTGTTTCTGCTGGTTGGTGTTAACGTACAGCACACACAGAGAGATGGAGAGTGAGGAGGACTCCAGCAGTAAAACAGCGTTTTCCAGATGGAAATACCGGTGTTACGTCATGCTGGGTTTCCCCATCAGGTACGGTTTGCCCTGTATCTCCGCACAGCGCAGGCGGCAGGATTTACTGCGCAAGTGACAGGAAACAAGCAAGCTCGCTAAAGGCGCTTAACAGCCGCCCTGTGCTCGCACCACAGGGGAACTATGGAGAGCGTGAATGATGAAATGTTAGGCTATATGGAGAAAGAGAGAAATCGGGATAGATAGATAGATAGATAGATAGAT